GTAGTAAGGTAAGGTAGGTAAGGTAGGTAAGGTAGGTAGGTAGGTAGGTAGGTAGGTAGGTAGGAGGTAGGTAGGAGGAGAGGAGGAGAGAGAGAGAGAGAGAGAGAGAGAGAGAGAGAGAGAGAGAGAGAGAGAGAGAGAAGAAGAAGAAGAAGAAGAAGAAGAAGAAGAAGGGGAGGCGAGGGGGGCTACAAGTTGTTCCTTCTTCTGCCTTTTTGGGTTGCTGCGAGGAGCTTCCACCATTCCATAGAGGTTGAAGCAAGATGCCATACTGCTTGAATTGCACTTCCCTACTCCTATGAACCGATGTACACTACGTTATGCATTCTAGATTCAAAACCCTAACGAAATGAGATTCATTGCATGTGGAATCATGTATCACTTGATGTGGACTCAAGATTCAATCTTTGCTGGAGTTAAGATTCAATATATTTGGGAACGACTTTCCAAAAATAATGGGTTCAAGATTCTAAAGATGTACTAAAATGAGATTCCTAAATTAAGGAATTGAGATTTCCTTGGTTCCAAGAAACGGTTTTGGTGAAGATTCCTTAACGAAATTGCCGAATTGGGTTTCCAAACCGGAATCATGGGGTTGGCAAAGAGATTCTGGTAACTATGGGGGGGGACATACTCAGGCCCCTTGACATGCTCATGACTTTAATGAAGTAGAGGTGTTGGCCCTGCTATCTGGTTTACAAAGCTGGATTGATCCTTGGAGTGGTAATTGAGGGTGATTCAGTGGGGAAGTTGATGAGCAGAGTATCCATGAAGGCTATCTCGCATTTATGAAGAATTTTTTCATCTAGTTAGTACACTAATGGTGACTTTTCAACATGCTTGGAGGTAGGAAAATATAGAGGCTGTTCCATTGGCCAAAGATGGGGTGGGAAAATAGAGGCCTTGTAATTACAAAGTCCGTAAAATTGATGTCCCATTTTATGCAAGGAGATCTCATTTTTGTGAAGGATATACATGTATACTCAATTTTTACGGAGTTAACAATTTAAAAAAGAATTCACATTTTGAAGCAGCTGAATTTCGACTTTAGCAATTGATCTACTAGACAGTGTATAACTTCTAGTTCGAATGCTTATACAATAGAGGGGCTTACAGATTTTCAAAAATCGCATAATTGACATCTAAGATTAAAAGGTTTCGCTGATTGACATGTTTGGGTACATTATCAATTTCAAGAACTTGCAACTCATTGAGATTAGCTCTCTTTTCTATGTAGTGGAGGGTTAGTCTGGATTGTGGAAAATCTTCCAGAATAAACCATATTCTTCTAACGACTCTTTTTCTTGATAAGTCTGTATATTCATAGCCTGCTATTATTGTTGCTGCTCATGAGGGGAACACGGGCCATATTTTGCAGGTCGATTTCTCTGATGAAGCATTACGTGAAAACATTGGGGCTTTTGTTAATGCTCTTTTGGAAGCCAAGCCCATAGGTCTAAAGAAGAGTGGGTTCCATATTCCTTACTTCTACATAGTTTTCTTGGATGGAAAGTTGGAATTTTTTTTTTTTGCTTATTACATTATTATACCCCAAAACATCCTCTAACTCATTCCATTGTTTATAAATACCTTTGTTGGAGATGGTGTCTTGCCCTGTTCTGTTTGGGTTCCCTTACTACTGTGTCATCTCTCTTTACCTCTCCCTCCATGTGTATGTGCATCTGATATGCTGATCTCTTTTGCAGCCTCAAAATATGCGGGGTACATGAACTCCTTCACTCTATGCTCTACGGTAAGTTCATCTAGCATCAACATGCGTGTCCTCTCCCTTTATTGATTTGTATCCTGGGGTTCACTGACCTTGGATTACAATTTTGTTGTGCAGATGGGACGTGGATTTCCTGTTTCAATTCAGTCCCTTTCTCTGGCTGCAGATCAATACACTAGGTTGAGTCCCAAGTGATTGCTGTTCATGAATATTAGTTTCTCTTCATGGAAAGAGGAAGAAAAATGAAATTTGCGAGCTTTGCATGTCTGTGTGCATGTATTTTAGTCCTCGATGGATGTGTGCCACCAGTAAGCTGTTTATGGCCATGGCATGGGTGACAATTTTGATTGCGAGATAAAATCTCAGCATTTTTCTTGAAAAAGATGAATAGAATAAAAGACAAAAAAACATCTGGAGTCCTACTGATGATTCATTTTGGAAACAATTTTGTGGTTATTTAGTGGAAACATTTCTTTATTTCTATGTAGAAAAAGTACACAGTTGGCTTTGGAGAATTCAACATTCAATTAATCTTTAAGGGAGTCATTCTATGAATGATAGTACACTCATATGCAAGAATATTTGGTTATCAGTTCTTAATCACAGTCCAAGAGTCATAGTCTCATAGACTATAAGATGATCAAGTTTACAATTTTCTGAAATGTTAAAAGAGAATTCTATGCATCATATAGTAACCATGACAGGGTTGGAAATTTCATTGCTTGGGCTGTGTAATTGAAAAACATTGGAAGGCCCAATCAATATTCATAGTCTTTAAAGGGTATAAATAGTGCATGTGAAATATTTGATGGAATCAAGGTTTTTTTGTTTTTTTTGTGTGTGTTAAATAGAATAGATATAAGATGTGGTTGGTATGGTTGGAAGGATTTCTAGGAAAGTCGTGTTGCCTCTCTACTTTTAATTATGTCCACTACCTTGGTGCTTTCACCCAGTTGTTGATGGTTATTAACCTGTGTCCGACTGAATAACAAGATTCTAGAAACTAGAATCAGGCAAGTGGTCCGATTATGATCTGATTCTAGAGATTCTCAAGTCGAATTGTCGTATTGGTAATCAAGGAGAAACAAGGAAATAAAGTACGGTAATTCGGGGATCGGGGGGTTCTTCCAACTAAGCTCGTCTGTCTGCCCACAGGTTCTGAGCCAGCTTAGGTGGTTGAGTCTGCTCGGTGATTTTTAAAACCCTGCTAGAAATGCCACTCTTAGCAATGTTAAGAAATTGCAGTGTGAAGCCCAATCATCAATGAACCGGGGGGTTGCCCGTTCCAAATGGGCATGAACAGGGAAGTTACATCGGTTTGATTGGACGGTTCCTTTAACTGCTTGATTGGTTGTATGATTTTATGATATTATGTCTGCTTATTCTTTGATTCGACTTGTGTTGGGTTCATTTTATGATACTTTTTTTTAATATATTTCTACAATAAATATTTATGCGTATTAAGAATATAACTGGTAAATTTAGTCCTTATTTTATCTAGAACTAGTTATCTCATCAGCTAGGTTATGTATCTTTTCAATGATTTATTCCAAAAAATATTTTTTTCCTATTTTAATTGAGGAAACCTTTCACCTTTTATTTTACCATTCATTTTTTTGTAATATAGGTTTTTACATCATTGTTAGTTTTCGCCTGATTTTTCACATAATTTTCGTTATCTTTCAAAAAATCTTTGCTGATTTTCTAGGTTTATCAACTCTATATTAAATATTTTCTATTTTTCTTTACGTAATTTTTTTTTCTTTAATATCTTGTGGTGTTTTATGGTTTAATGATGCAAATTCCCACCAAAACATGTTTAGTTTGGGATGAAACAACACTTTCTCCTAAAACAAATGGTGTTTCCCTGATTTGTTTGGGGTATTATAATATTTTCTCATATTATATTTAGGGCAAGCTTTTTATGCTTTCCCTACTGTATATTTCCCAATCCAACCTACCATTCTGAATGGAGGGTTAAGATTGCCCCAATCACAATGTCACGTCTTTATATTATTTTATTTTCTATAAACTATTGTTACATCAAATTTTGTACGTCCAATCATCTATTAACTCGCACCAGCGAAAAATATAAAAAAATATTTTCAATAAAATAAAATGATCAAAATATCCTTGAAAGTTTCAAGTGGTATTTTGGTCATTATATTTTATTGAAAAATTATTTTTAATATTTTTAGAGGTGCGCCTCAATGAGAAGATGTCACGCACCAAATTTCATATTCATACAATTTGTATAAAAATAAATAAAAAATAAAATACTTTGAGATGTTGGATCTAAGATCAAATGGTAAGTGACTCTCTTGATCAAAATTGGACGGCTGGTTGGTAGGGAAAGTATAGATCTTGTAGGGGAAGTATAGAGACCTTTCCCTTATATTTATAGTAATTAATGCATGGTTTATCAATTTTTTTTTGTGAGTATTTATAATTGGAATGCTCTGTTTTTCTTATTTTATTTCTCTGGGTTTAAGTTCTGTCTACTTTTAGACTTTTAGAGGAGTTTCAAAGCCTAGTGAGGAACCTACATGAATAGGGTTGGACTACATAAAAAATATGATCTGGTACTGTTGGGCTTGGACAATTGCCCCATTATATATGAGCTTAGTGGGCCATGCTTAAATAACTAAAGTGCGTATTGTGAGTTTAAGCAGATGCTAAAGAGAACAGAGAGTCACAATCAATATTGATTGCTGGAAGGACATGAAGGGAGTTTTCCTAATTTCTTGGTGTATTGCTTATGCAGGAACATTTACATCGTTCCGCAACAGTATATATGTCCCAGGAGCAGTGAAGGATGGCAAACTATTACCTTGTTGGATAGTTTAGTGAGGCAAGCGGGTGATATGTAGGTGAAGTTCTTTATCATCATCATCATAGTCTTTCCTCAATAAATTGGGGTCGGCTACACGAATCTTAGTCTGCTATTCTACTCTATTTAAAGCTATACTTTCAGTGCGGCTATAAATCTCCATATTTATATGAGGTTTAAGTTATAACTAATAATATGGGTAATTACGTTAGTTACAAAAAATAACTAAAACACTGCTTTTTATTTTGCATGATCTGGCGATTTCTTTTCGGGGTCGTAGTTGCAAAGAATTAAGGCAAAACACAAAATGCTGCATTCGCAATCGCATTCACATGTGATACATAAAATTTTAAGGGGGAGATGGACAATCCAATGACTCAAATGGATAACAAAATTTGTGAAAAGAACTTCCAAGTCAATCAACAATATTTCACCCTTGAATACAATAAAAAGTTGATCAAGTTGCAAGTCATTCTTATGGGGATCAGAGTGGAGTAGGGAAACCACTTATTCAACTTATTTTATAGTGGAGGATTAAATGGAGATGGCCTCATCAAGGCTTTAAAGCTTGGGTCTCGATGGGAGAGTTGCAGCATTTGCAACAGCTTCCACTTGGGGCAGGGCTGCAACACACAGAGGCAGGGCTGCCTTGGCCTTCCAATAATCTCTTCTGAAAATCTAACATGAAACATCAAAAGCATTTTATGAGTATATGGAAATATGCAAAAAGAAAATTCTCATGGTGCATGTTATCTAATGTTCAAGAATAAGAAAATGCACTTAGTGAAAAAAAGAAAGAAAAGATGATGAAAATCCATATAAAACCAACAAAGAAAAAGGTGCTGTTGTGGTGTCTTTAGCACAATAGATGATGCACCATTTTTGTGCATTTCGATCGAAATGTAATGGAAACCTTATGTTTTCTATGACTACATAGCATAATTAGGTTGAATTAATCGCTTTTGATTTTGCTAAATAGATTTAGAAAAATTATCTTGAAGTGCAAGGTTAGAATCCCATCTTGGCTAACCCAAAATAATGTATAGGGAAAATTACATAAATATCTATTTTATTTTTAATTATTACGGAAATAATTAATATTTAATGTTACTACATCTATGTTCATTGTTTGAACTTCGTAACATTTTTTTTTAAAAATAGAGGAAACTACCAATTTTTTGTTTTTCAAAAACCAAAATGATCCGCCCTTTTAACCTTGGCATTTAGTCAATTTATCAGCTTTAGACCATTTGAAATACCTAAAACGACGCGTCCTCTTAACCTTGGCATCTGGTCAATTTATCAGCTTTAGACCTCTAAACGGGGTTTTCCAATACCTGCCAATTTATCATCGTGTACAAAAAGACCAACCAAACAAAACTTTTTAGCATCATCTTACAGTCTAGCAACTACAAAATTACAGTATAGGGTTGCTAAAAACTTTATAGTAAAGACTTACTTACGAATTATCTTCTCCACGATGGCCTGGAATGGTAACTTCCTTGTGTCGGTCTTAATTATACATCTTCATCCCCCTTTGCACCACTACTCGTATCAGTTTTCGATCCAGTATTGGAAAACACCTCTTCATCATTATGATCTTCAAGAGGATATTAAAAAGTGCTCTTACAAGCAAGATTTTCAGTCATGGATTTTGAGACCTTTAGCATCGCATTGTTGATCACTTTAACCAATAAAATCGGAAGACCTTGACTTGAACAACCCTAAATTTGTAAGCAAATGACCAAATTGAGATCTTTCGATCTTGGGGTGATGAACCCTCGATCTCCATTACTAGATGGCAATGCTGAGCCCTTGCTCTTAGCACCTTTACCCGAACGATCCTTTGAACCGAGTTATAGAAATAGGCAATTCTCCATGTCTTATTGCTGGTGCACCTTTACCAGAACCACTACTACACAAAAGTTTTTCAAACCCTAAAAGTAAGTCATTAGGTCTCAATGGAAAAGATTTCAATCTCGGGGTGGCTGATGCTTGATCTTGATGACCAGATACTAAGGCTTACTTTTGCGTGAAAATTTTTGGTTTTTCAAAAATCGAAAAACAAATAAATTCAGTTTTTGAAAAATTGAAATTATTAAAATTATTAAAATTTTTGTTTTCAAAAAATAAAAATTTTAAAAATTTCGGTTTTTGAAAAGCTGAAAATGGGTAATTTTATTTTTTTTAAAAAATTATTATGAAGTTCAAAAAACAGATATATGTGTAATAAACTAAAAACATATAGTTTTAGGTATTTTTCGTAATAACAAAAAAGAAAACATATATTTACGTAATTTTCTCTATATATATTTATATTTATGTATGCATGTTTGTATGTTTGTATGTGCGTGTCATTTAAAAGTAATAATAATTTGATATTCTCCAAGTCGGCTAGGAGAATTATTTGATCCAGATTGACTCGGTAATCGGCCGATTCATCTGGGCGATCCGGGTGTTAACCATGGTATGAAACCTTAGGGACTCTTGTCATGAGAATTGACAATCAAAGTCCCACTTAATTTTATTATTATTATTATTTATTTTATAGTTTAATATTTTGACCCTAGAGGAACAATTGATCCAAATTAGAATTGTTGTTGTGGACAAGAAAGTCTACCCATGACTTGATTTTTGGTCTTGTGTATAAATCCCAATAATCTTAAAAGGGGTTGAACCAATGGTTTAAAAAGCGGATCGGTGACTCGGATCGGGCACCTCAAAAACAGATCCGGATCCACGAATAGGCGATCCGGATAGGGAATCGGTCAGAATAAAGCTTCAAAAAAATTCGAAAAAAGTATTAAAATTCATTATAAATATTGTTTTTTAGGAATTCAATAACAAATGAGGGTACTCTATCAAGAATTTTCATGTTTTTGCATGAATATGCGAATGTTGATATGTTCTTTCCCTGCATGAGCTACTATTCGGCATTTAATTTACATCACACAAAAGGATAAACATAGAATTATCATGGAATAATTATATCAACATACATCGACTACAATAAAGCATACAATTAGTAACATACGATTTAAAAATAAAATGACAGATGACGTTGTTGTTCTTCTTGGTCACGCTGGTGCTATTGATTGAATTCGTTTGACAATTCATTGATTCGATCTAAAAACGAATCATCGATATTAGCAAGCGTCTGACTGTACCCAAATCCCTGAGCGTTAGTGTTTTGTTGTGTTCCCAATCCAAAATCCCTGAAGCTTGTCCATCCTTCATGCTCACCTACACTGTCGTGTTCATCCCTACATTGTTGCCGTTGGGACTCGATATGTGAATAATATGGCAGGGATAGAGTGGCCTCAGAATCATCGTCTCTCTCATTTTCTCTTAGACCCCCTTCCCACTCTCCCTCATTAGGTGCCATATCACCGATATCTCCGACGAATTGTGGATACGTTGACTGGGTGCTTCCTCTTTCATGCTGCTCATCACCTTCTTCAAGATCTTCCTCACCGATAGCCTCAAGGAACGCTCTCTTGTGCAACACTGGCTCCTCCTCTTCTACTACCCATTGGTCTGCTGTGTCTGTGACAAATATTGTGTTTAAGTCTATCGGCCCATAGTCTTCAAGCTTCCTTCTTATTTGTCGCTCTCGGAGGTTTAAATTATAATGAACGTCACTAGTTTATGAAGCTTCCCAGAAGCAAGTCGATTCCTCCTAGTAGTGTGCAACCATTGGAACGTACTCTAATTGCGCTCACAGCCAGTGGCAGAACATGTATGGGAGAGCACCTTGATTGCTATCATCTTTAGGTGAAGTGCATCAGTACCATATATCTCCCACCATTTAGCTGGATTTAAATGCAAAAAGCATTGTAAGGGCAAGAACAAAATATTAACGAGGGGATAACCTGGATCCATCATAGTTCGAAAATTCCTAGCAAGTCTAGTTCCGAAGGATCCTATAGCATCCCTATACATAGCAAGCTAAAATAAATATATTACGTTTTAGTACATTATTCCTCACAAATATAACAACTCAATAAAGTTCTTACCCAAACGTTAAATAATACCTCTTGTATTGCTGCTATTTGGTTTCGATGGCTTCTTTCCAACCTTGCAATAATGTATCTGACCCCTTCCATAATCTTGTGAGGATGTTTAAGTGTCAAATAGAAAAATTTTGGGTTGAAGTAGTAACCTACAAAATATATAGATAGAAAAATGTCATTTACAATTTCATAAAAAAATGATTTAAAATGAAACATTGTAATGATATAAATATATATTTACCAGCATAATGAATTGGACGTCCAAATTTGGTGTTCCATCTCCTTTCTATAATCTCGATCACTTTGCTAGCAAAACTATACTTCTCCCCAATAGCTGATTTCGCCATCTCAATACCTTCATAAAGGATACCCAAGGTAGCTTTCTTGTCAACATCCACCATTCTTAACGCCGTGACCAAAGGGGCAGTGGCCTCTACAACACTGGAACATCGAGACCAGAACCACCTATTTGAGACTATGTTATCCACTTTTATACCGGTACTAGACTTCGAGAGGTGATCATTTAACCACTTTTCATAGGCAAACAATCTCTTTAATGCACATTCAGATTCTCGAATGGAGTCCACAGCTAAGTAATCGATCGCAAAACGGGTTATGGCAAGCCTGATTATCTCTTTTTTCTTAGAGTGTTCTCTAAATAGAAATAAAATTTTAAAGTGGTTGTATATAAATCTCAACACCAACCTTGCTTCCTCTAGAGTCTCCTTCACAATTTTGATCTCACCAATCTCTTCTAACATAAGATCGATGCTGTGTGCAGTACACGGGGTCCATACTAGATGCTTCATCTTATCCATCAACTTATTGCCCGGAGAAACACATGCACGCGCATTGTCCGTAATAAACTGGACTACATGCTTATCTCCCACCTCCTCCACTATCTGATCATATAGTCGTACGTAGAAGTTTGCATCATTCTTCGTCCTTGATACGTCTTTGCTAGACAAAAAAGCTGTACCTTTTGGGGAATAGGCCAAGAAGTTTAAAAACTCATTTTTGCTAACTTTATTCAACCAACCATTACTCATAAGAGTAATGCTTGTCTTTAGCCAACTCTGTTTATATTCGTCAATCCACTTTGTAACTTCCTCCACATCTTCATCTAATATTGGCCCACTGAGCTCATATGCCATTAGGGGTTTTACCCCGGGGCCGACTCTCTGGATTGCACTAACCATAAGTGGAAAATATGAGCTATTGGTTGCATCAAACGGAATCCCTTTATCGTAGAACTATTTACCAACATATCTCCCTAACATGTTTCTTGTACTTTTAACCATGCCTTTTAGGGTCATCTGTTGTGACTTAGGCTTTGAGAGAAATAGGTCTTTACGACCATGACCTGCAATACTAGCACTCCTAAGTAACCTAGAAACAATTTTTTCAACATCTGATTCTCCTTGATACATATTGCCACCAACCCCTCCATGCATATTTGAGTTGGGCCTGCCATACATGCTCGAGCTGGGCCCGTCATGCATGTCTGAGCTAGGCCCACCATGCATGTCTGAGCTAGAACCACCGGGTATTCTAAACTCACGTTCCCTCTGATATTGTTCATGTATACTCAATCTTGTGGCCATGTTCAGGTCATTATTATATTGCTCTTCTGTATCATTCCTGCTTGATGGCGTATATAAACTAGCTATCTCCTCATTCATCCTATGTTTGACAATTTTTTTACCTTTGTTAGCATTAAGAATTGCTGCCATCTACTTTTTTACATTACTAGGGACATTAGTGCATGAAGAAACATTTCCCTTAAACCCTGCCAAGTGTTGCTTGAACCTATGTACCCCACTACTTATCACTCTTTGACAGTAATTACAAATAATTTTGTCTTTCTTGTTGGGATCAAGTCTGACCCCATGTTGCCATGCAGGGTCTTCTGCAGATCTTGACATGATTCAACTATTTTAAGATGTAAAAAGTTAAAAATTAACATGACAGTTCAACAAGAAAAATAATCACCATGTGTAGTGATAATATGTTAGGGTAGTTCATGTAGTCATATTTGTTGTTATTTGTTATTGCAAAATACCTCTATTGACAATAATACTTTCGTACATATCAATTAC